TCGGACCGCGAAAACATTGCACGATTGTTCGATGCCCTAAAGGGCGAGGCACGCGACGTGGTTAAAACTTTGCTCGCGAGTAGCCGCGACGCGGACACAATAATAAAGACGTTAGAGTTACATTTCGGAAATAAACGGGCCGCTGCCGAGAAAATCGTCGCGGAATTAAAAACGTTGCCGGAGATAGATTCGGGGAGAATTTCTCTCGTACAATTCGCGACGAAGTTACGCAGTGCAGTGGTAGCGTTTAAAACGTTTAGGCTATTAGGGTACCTGCACAGCCCCGAACTGGTAAAATCCGTGGGGAAACTGTGCGTATTCACCGTCGAAAAATTGAGTTGTTCTGATACAATGGGTGAATAATATGAAAATGTAATATCATTAATAAACATGGGTGTACAAAGTAACAGCAATAGTAAATTACTAATCATTTCGTGTTTTTAAATATGGGACAAATAAAGTACATAACTGCTTTTACTTCAATTCATTTTATATTTATAAATAAACATTTGTTTACTAGAAATTTTATGATATATTTAAACACAACTAATATATTTAAGTACATTTCACCTATTGCATTTACCACAATCAATAAAATGTGAAATTGTGAATATCTGAAAACTGGATTTAATGATTTAGGTGTAACAGTTCTGTTACAGAAATAAGTAATAAAATTTGATCTAAGAAATTTTTTCCTTGTCGCAGAAACATTTTTACAGATTAGCAGTATACAACTCTCTTCTTTTTGAAAATAGATTTTGTTCTCCGATTTGCCAAAATGCAAACGGTATTCGTTATAAACACGAGAGAGATAAAAATTCGTCAGTTAATAACGTCACTAATTTAAAATTTGTATAAAATTGAATTGAAATGTTTTCAAACGATTAATTTCACATTTTTTGCTTTTTGAAATAATATTGAACATTAAATACCCAACGTGAATTTTTTAAATAAGTTATTCCTTATTTATTAAGTACTATACATATTCTTAGTAGCAATTTCGAAACAATGTATTCCAATCGTAAATCTTTTTACAAAATCATATAGTTTCTACAACTTAAATTAAATACTTATATATTTAGACTTTATAAATATTAAATTTGTAATTAGTCGTTATTTTAGGTCAGTTTGTTAATCTAGTAACATGTATATGTTTGTTAACGATACAAAAATTCTTGTATTTGATAATTAAAGTTTGGAACTGACTATAACACTAGTTGATGAATTCTTTCTTCTTGTAAACAGAGTAATTTAAATCGTTAGTGAGATATTAATCATCCGCAAGTTGTTATTATTTTATTTTTATTATTATGTTGCTCTCTTATTAGCAATACAATCAATACAATAATAATAGCGCAATCAAAAGAATTTCATGTCTTCGAAAACAAAAGAAATATGAAGTATAAATGATTTCGCCTAAATTCCTTTTATGACATAATTGTTTTAATTTCAGAGTAATAAAAATCATTATGTATTGTGTTTTGTGGGAGAAGTTTATATCGAAAACACTGTAGAGATGTTACTAGTGTATTCATAATTCGTTTCAATTTAAAATTAAAATATTTCTGTCATGCTACCTTACCTGTCGTATTTGTTGTAAAGTCACATAACCTATATAGAAACTTTATATTTTTAATCAGAACTTTCAAAAGCGCAACGAATGTTTCAGAATATAAAATTGGAGTTTTTGCATGATCGGTAATAATTCGAATGTATTTAAAGAAATATAGATATGTATTTTAATTTGTATTAAATGTAGGATAAAAATAAAATATGTAGATTAGCAACTATATTAAAATAAAATAAACTGTGTTCTTCGTTTTGTGGAACAAGAGGTACTAACAATCGAGTATCGTGTAACAAGTAAGTAATACAATTAGCAATCTTATATAACATAGAAGTAAAAAATGATATAGATATTTTAATAAAAAATTAAACTGTAAATCAGAACTGAAAATCTTCGTAAGCAAAAATTATGTAAACAATAATTATCACAGCTTTCTAAAGGTTTTTACGTTCATAGAACAGATAGAGTAAAATACTCAAATAAATTTCAATATTTCTAAATTAACTAATGTGGCATTTACACTAGACAATTATTGGTTGACCAATCGAAATAATCATCCTCACATCACCAAAATAGTTATATTTAAAGTATGTAATTTGCAGGATATGTCAAATAACCAAAAACAATTGAATATACCTTAAGGGGTTGCAATTATTAAAAAAATATTCCTGTAAAAATTGTATGGTACGAAAGAGAGCATTATGTTGTATAAATAATTTTTCTGTAAGTAAAGTAAGTGGTGGTAAAGATTCCATGGTCAAATCAGTTTTTTTAAATGGGACTTTGCATTTTTTTATTCGTAATATGAAAGAGTTTCCTGAGACAAATGCAACGACTTATTACTTGATATTGTTGCATACAAAGGAACTATAAATTACATTTGCAAATGATGATTGCAAATCGCTGGCGAACGTAATTGCGATGACTTGTCGAGTCTATTGACACCATTCATACTATGCATAAACAGTGTTTAGCTTTCTTGTCTCTTTTTTTGTCCCTTAAACTTCTACCTTTCCTAGTTTCTAATTTTATTTTAAGAGTCAGTTTCAAACGAGCCTTAAGTGAGTCCAACACTTGACACTGCAATTTGGAAGTTACCATTATTATTAATAGTTGCATTCAGAATATTTATTTATTCTGTTTTCTAAAAATGTTTTTAACTGCCAAGGCCAAGGTAAAACTCGTCCTTCTACGCGGTAATGTATACTTATCGCACACTGAAGTTAGCGAAGGACTTCGATAAAAGCACCCCAATGAAACTGAATCTTAGAATAAGGTGTGGGACTAAGAAAAGTATGAGTTTAAGGGGCGAAACGGGAGACAAGGAGCGTAATTACTGTTTATGCACAGCGTGGATGGTGTCAATCGGTACAACAAGCGACACGGCCATACATATGTATGCTAGTGATTTGCGTCCACCTAACTACAGATATTTATAAGTGTCTCGACATGCAATGATGTGTTCTAATAGGTCGTTGAATTTATCTCAGAAAACGATACCATGTTATGAATAGAAATACAAGATCGCATTTAAAAAAACTAACTTCACCTTGAATCTCTATTGAACACCTTAAACTTGAAATATCCACCACTACTTTATCTACGGGACAACTATTTATATGATAAAATGGCTGTCTTGATATCATACAATTATGGTGAGGATATTTTCTTAATATCCAACTTCTTAGAGATATTTAACCATTCCCATTTAATTGACACCCTTTTGTACATTACGTATAAGTATGTATAATTACATATTAAATCGTACTTTTTGAAAAAAAGAATATTATTATTTCACTTATTGATATACTCATTTTGTAATTTTTCTGTCGAGTTTAAAACTCGGAGATTTCACTCATTTTATTTGTACTTATTTTATTTGTATTTTAATTTGAATGTTCTTTTTTATTTTCTTATCAACTGTGATATTACAAGGTTTACATGATCAACTGCAGTTGATATTGTAAAATCATTAAAGCAACAGCTGTCTAATGTAAATGCCCTGTAATTAATTTTTCCGTGTACTACGTGTAAAATAACTGTATCCGTTCAAAACCAACAGATTACGTTGTAGTTTATAAACCACATCCGTAGGAAAACCGGGGTTAGTTGCAATTACGATGAAAAGTTTACTGTTTAAAATAGAATTTTGGAAATGAAGTGTCTGAGTTGGCTTGACGATATACACCCATGTACAGAACTTGTTTCTATTTTGTTTATGCAATACCATGTCGTTAAAGTTCTTGTGGTTTTTTATACAAATAGCAAGTTTTTGCATTTCTTTTTTACATAAATCTTTCCTTCCCGGCAATCCGGTAAATGTAAACAAATTATAGTTACTACATTTGAATTAGTGCTTCTTCAACTGCATGTGTGTTGGAATAATACAAGCATACACTATCCTAATTTGAACTTATAATTTATTCCTAATGTCAATCAAGATCATCTGTTGCACAAGAAGAACGTAATCTTAATTCAATATATTAATTAATTGTTTGATTAATAATCAATGAATTAATTTAAATTATACGAACCTATGAAAAACATGTAGAGGTATTATACTTCTCCCACTGCTTAAAACAGTAATTAATACCGTTATGGATAACAGTTGATAACAAGTTATTAATAATACTTTATAATATAATTAATTTAAAATCGCAGAATAAAAATGTATCCACGCAGATTTATCACGAAGTATAAATAAAATAAAGATTCTCAATTCATTACTGGTTATTTAAGAGTAATGCAAGCTTCTGAATTAACATATCTTGTTTTTCAAAAGAATTTTCGTTTAATTGAAACAAGAGCTATCAGAAGAAGAAAGATGGTATCTTGAACATGGAATTTAACTGGCATGAAATACAGAATATAATAACTAACCCCGGTTTCCAATACTTAAAAGGTTACGTAATTTCAGTAAAATTAAGGTGTTCGTGTACGTATCCTCTTGAGAGAAAAATCACACGAGAAAGCATTTCTCATTGAGAATTATTTGGAGCTGGATGATACAATAAAACGTCGATACTTTCCTGTTAAATACATTTCCGGGTAAGAACTCCTTTTGCTCACGAATATTACTCGCAAAAACACAGATGAGCTACAAGGAAAGATCGTATGATCGAGTTTCTGTAGTAATTTTTAACGTGATTCTTACAAGAATTGCTCTCGATATCTTCTCGTGCAAGTTTCACTCTAAGAGGATAGATACCTTTGTGTGATATGGTACATTAAGTATTGTTAAGTACTAAGAGTATGGATTTGTCAAATAATTAGATTATAAATGTACAGTGAAAGTACTATTAAATTTCAAACTATTTATCTATGTTTTTCGTTATAAGTACATGTTTTATTTCAAATGTTAGTAACATACTTTTGGAGCAAAGTTTCTTTAAAGATCGATTTTATATCATTCTCGTATTTTTATATTTAATCTTTCCGAATGAAAATAAAGGAGCAGAATTAAGCAAACGAATTTTCATGAATAAATAATACAAAGTTAGAGGAAGTTAAAGGGGTGAAACAACTAATTATTTTTGTTAGTGTTAAGTGTAACATCCAAAGGTTCGTCAACATTTTGCGAAGGACTGAATTCTTGTTGTTGAGGCAACTGACAGAATAAAGTAGAGATTGGTGTGTGTCGAGATGTCCCTTTTACTGTAAGATCCATCTCAGCTTCTTGAGGCCTGTCTCTTATAGGTAGGGTCGTGTCTCTTTCTACTGGACTACCACATATCCTCGGAGGGGAACCACAACCACATTTCATTCTATCTGGGGACTTCTCACAGGACAACGAATATCTGAAACATAATATTAATTCTTTATGTTTCAATGCCGATTATTTTTTCATAACTTTATTTTGTATACAAGGCGAAAATTTCTAATAATTTGTAAATCGTTCACTGCAGAAATCAATTTTTTAAACTAAAATTGCATGATTTCCGAGAACACATACAGTATTGTAATTACTTTTCAATTGAGATCTTCAGTTTTTTGAGAATATTAATTTCTAAATTTAGATGAAGTATGAAATGATAAAGGTGTGTCGGAGAAGATGGGGACTAAAATTAATAATTATTCAGGTATTGTCAAAATGGGTTTCAGTTTAAGCTACAACTGTTGGTTATTACATCAATATGCTTTTTTAATCTGATTTTGATTGAACAATAAACTTTTAAGCATTTCTTTAATTATTTATACATGTATGTATAAATACATAATATACTCCCATATCTTCGATAGGTGATATGAGTAATATTACTGAAAACGAAGAATACACACAATACCACTCTGATACCCGTACTCCGTGGTACCGAGTATCGATATGTGAATTATGGACAATTGATGCTAAAATAAAAGTACAGTTTACTTCGTTTTCTACAATTTTACTATGCTTACGTTTTTGTGGATCGAAAAATCCATATTCTTTTAACATTTTAGTGAATATTTTCACTGAACTGTTACATTTTTATTACACGCAGCATAAACATTCATATCGTATTTCCAGTATTACAAAACATCTAAAATGTATATTAATTTTATTATTAGAAATAACCTCCATCATTTTCTACACGTTTAATCCATTAAAGTTCAAAGAGAAACTTGATCAATTAGCAACACAAACAGTAACCTTTAAGAAGAGTCTACTATATCATCATAAAATAAAAAGAGTTCAATAGAAGTTAATATATTTCATTTTAACATCGTGTATATTTTAATAAACATATCTGAAAAATTGAATTATAATATTTTCTATTGTTCTAACAAAAAAAGATTTCAAAGTACAGCAGGAATACATACAGTAGCGATCGCAGTAGGCTTCTCTAGAGAAAATTTACAGCTTTAGTAGACAAACGCTGTAAACGTTTATACACATGGTGGGGTCCCCTTTCCCTACAGCGCCATTTTCCTAGGGAAGCCTACCGTGCTCGGCACTGTACACCGCTGAATTACCACGTCCTGAAATACCTTTAAAAAAATTAAATTACTCTATCAGACTATACAAATATAATCTGATTAATTAATAATTTAACTTAGTGAGGTGAAGTGGGGTAAGTTCGTTAACGGGGCAAGTGGCTATACAGGCTATTTTTATTACAATATGAGCGAAATTTCTCCATTTAGTATGTTTGCTTCCTTGTTTTGTTTCCCCTATGTCCCCCCTACATCCACTATATCCCCTTTTATATTTCAGCTAAGAGTACTTGTTTGCAGTATACAGTACTTGCATAATGCAGTAAAAAGCATTTTATAGCAGATTTGTTAATAATTCTGCTCTTGCCCTATTGCACATGAAATAAAGTTTCAAAGTATTTAACTTCAAGTTACGCTCTTACCCCATTTTCAGGGAAAGTGCAGAGTAGTTGACATTTTAAACAATTTTCTATCAAAATCAAAATGTACAAGGAAAATTAAGGTCCTACTTAATATTAATTAAATCGTAGTAATTGTGCAAAGCGTTCGATATCGACAGCGTTAAGTATTTACATAGCAGACTGAAAATACTTGCGTTTAAATACCAATTTCACAAAAACCAGTCTGCATTTACCCCACTTCACCTTAATCTATTTTTAATTACCGCAAGTTACGATAACTTAGGTTCACCTGTTTTTGGCTCACATCTGGGAAATGATCATTTTTTATCTCGCTACTCTGTAAATTATAAATTACCTAATCGGTATTTTTTAACAGCTGTTGCTTACATTTAACAGTTGACGATTATTGTTTACATTTAATAATTCACGACTTTTATTTGCATTTATCTACAGAACAAAGTCGAAAGTCATTTTCTATCTTCAGAACAAAGGTACGCTAATCTAACCATAGTTACCCCAACTTATGGCACTTATTCCATTTGAACGTGTAAAGTTGAAGAGAATGAAAAGTAGAGAAATGTAATAATATATATTTTTACCCGTGAGGAGGTGGTAGAATCCGATAATCTCTGCAAACGGATAGAGCCGAAGTGTCAGATATTTTATTAGCACTGATCGATGCTAAGGGTGATCCGTTCGTGGTAGCAGAGGTTGATGGTGGAGGTGGTGGAGGAGGTGGTGGTGGTGGTGGTACCGGTGATGCAGCATCAGGGCGTTCTAAAGCGGTTGTAGGTGGCGGCCGTAAAAGAAGAGGTGCCGCACTTCCTAATCCTAAACATCGCATTCTCCATGCGTCTTGTAACAGCTGTAGCCGAGCCTGCTTCCGCCATTTTGCTCGCCGATTTTGAAACCAAACCTGGAACACGAGCAACCGATATTACATTATAAAATTCTTTAGTTAAAGAATTAAAATTCTTTAATTTAGAAAACTTCATTCTGGGACACCAATTTTGTTAACTTTATTTGCATAATCAAATATTGTTTGATATATACAGACGAAATACAATGCTTTTGAGTGTTGGAATTCATTAAGAGGAGTCTCAGTCTGATTCTACAATTATTGTTCGGGTACATAATTTAGGTAGAGAAAAATACGAGTAGTATTGCTTAAGCTACATATTTATTTATATTTATTAGTAGGAACCTCAAAGCCTGATTCTACAATGCTTATTGAGATACATAATTTAAGTACAGAAAAATGCAAGTAGTATGGGTCACATTAAATATTTATCCAGCTACCAGCAGGCGGTCGGTCAGTTGTACTGAGAATGTCCCACAAATCAAATCATATTTTTACATGATTTCAAAGATCGACGAAGCGAAATTTGGTAAAAGAAAATACAATCGAGTGAGAAAAGAAATCGATCATTAGGTGTTGGGGATGGTCGACTCTAACACAAACAAGTATCGCATAATTGTAATTCAGAATCATGAGGCATTCACTATATTACCAGTTATACAAGAACACGTTAATATCGATAGTTTTACACGGACTGTTTCAAAAGTTGTACAGGACTCAACGCAGAGGGCTATATGCATAAGAGTGTTAATCACAGTTCGTAGGCAAGTATAATTTACTTTGAATTTCCGTTAGGTTGCGGCCAAATTTTGATTAAACTTTGCTTAATGAAATTCAATAAGTGTTAGCTAGCGACGGTACACATACTCAAAAATTGGAGTCATACTGGCGTCCTGGAAAAAGGTGGATGAGAAGAAGAGGACGTTTTCACGACAATGAATTTGCACTGCAACTGTGCGAATATTTATGGCGAAAAGTTTGCTATCGAAATAATATTCATCTAATGGCAATTTTAATGGATACGATCCGAACATAAAAGGTTTTACTAAATAACACAATTCACCTGGCTTATTGTAAGCTGTACTCCAAAACCAAACTATAAGAACATTACAACTTCTAAACTAATGCATTCCGACATTCGAAGTAGTTATATTTTGTCTGCATTTACTAAATACCATCGGATTACGTAAAAAAATTAAGAAGAATGATGTCTCAAGATGAAGTTTAGCGGGCTAAAAACTAATAGCTTGTAACATATTTTAAAAATAAATATAAGATATTGTGTGTTGAAGAGCAAAGTAATATTAACAGTTTCTTAAAGCAATTTGACAATTTGCGGCATATAATATTCCCCGTCAACGCCGAGGTCGGGAATTTGAAGCAATTTGCAGCGTATAATAAAATTTGAGGAATATAAGTACATGTTAATATGTAAATCAATATTACCAATACTATCAATCAATATTATCAGTGTTAATCAATATTAACATAACATACATATAGGATGTCCCAGTTTTTACAGAAAATAAAACGAAACGAAAATAAAAGTAGAAAAATGATATTAATATACGGTTATGAACGCTCTGTTGAAAAGTTATAACATAAGTATAATATAATTAAGAGCTACTCTCTTTTTATACGAATTTTGTGCGTATAATTTTGCTAATATGTTGTATAATTGAACAAATGAAAATTACTATCAAACTAATTGAGCTAATTTCAGCTAATTTTGAACTGTTTACACGCATAATAAATAATAATTTATTCAATTATTATTCAAATTATATTATTTATTCATTGAATTGTTATTTAATAATGATTTATAATTATTTTGCACCTTATTATAATTAATGACATGGTCAATTGCACATCAGTAGTCAAACACTAAACACACCGCACTAGCTTGGAATTTGAAACTAACTTTGAAGCATAACACGAGCTTTCAATAAAATTAATACAGGCTATCTAAATCCGAAGTTGCTAATTAAACTCTGCAAACATAAAGCGATCACAGACTTCTTATATTTAGCAATAGTAACAAAAATACAGCGTCAAAAATTTTATTCAAAAAACAGGTCAATATTTCGAAAGTTCAGACCCGAACGCTTATATCGAATCTTTATTGTATTATAAATGTTAATGTACGATTTCAACTAAGGTTTAATCTAATTAGTTTCTAGGTCATATATTATTAGTTTCTACGTTAAATATAATAGCTACTGTATGAGTCTATTAAAACTTGATCGGGTAAGGGTTGACATAAAAAGAACTTTCCTTGCTTACAAATGGAGTTTTTGAAATAGTCATGATAGCTTTTTCATACTCTATTCTTGTAAAGTTATAATTTATAACACCTTAAAACAATTTAATTTGTTTTCCAAAAAATCCTGATTTTTAAAACTCGTTGTTGTTTCATTAAATGAATAACACATTCTATATTACTGTTAAAATTATACGATAATATTCTAAACCTCATTATTCACGCAATGTTACAACGAAACTATTTTACGTATGAGAGCATATTTTATTTATTGCATGAGGTAATATAAGTAAGTGTCGTGTATTAATTTTAACGCATTTGAATATAACAATTTGTCTTGTATTATGAACATTTTTTTATAACACGTTACTAAAATCTGTTTCATTCAATTAAATTTCAAGCATATTTTTCTTTTGTACTCAATGCATTATAATTTCATATACCGATAACTTGCTACCTTTTACTATTCTGTTCAATGTGTATTAAATATCTACAAAAGGAATGCGCGTTGTATCGGACACAACGAGACATGTTACCATTGCAACGTTTCCTTTCCTGCTTTGAAGCTTTAAAAAATTTCATAGAAAGTAGTTTTCATGTGCACAAGAGATACTTTATAAGAATGCACAAAATATATTCGATATAAATATTAGTAAATATATTCTATATAGAATGTAAGTCTTGACAATATATGTAGTCTACACATAAAAACAGATGCTTCGTATAAACATATTTAAAATTATTTGCAGTAAATGGCGCCAGGGTTCCGCAAAATTATTGTCGATTCGTAAACATTTGTTGACCAAAATACAACATGTAATATTTTATACTGAATACAAAATATACAATAATGTTCTTTTTAAGTGAAATAATTAATTAAAATAATGTTAGATTTAAATAATACTAGAACCTAATGTTTTAGTAACGCTAAGAGACTAGATTCATATCAGACAAAAATTATAATTACGCTAACAGCAAGAATTTACAAAAATAAAAATTGATTTTAATAATCCTGTATGTGTATAAAGAGCGTCACAAAAATCAATTGCATAAGAACTCAGAAAAAAAGAATAACATATTTTCATATTTAACTACGTTTTTCAGAAAACTGAATTTATAAATTCTTCAGAATATTTAAATGAAAATGGCAGTGAAGAATACAATTTTTAAATTTAAATTAATTCGAAATAATTTCAAATGTAACTGAAATTATTTAATAATATTGATTAAGTTATTATTATCAATCAACATCTTTCATAATGTTATCATTTATTTCATTATTTACCATACTTTTACTATGAAAATATCAAAATGATCACGAAAAATAACAAAAATTCATTTGTTTATTGATAACTCAATTATTTTTTAGATCAATGAAAAAGCCATTGAAAGTATCATTCTCCTTGAAATTTTCTTACGAATATATTAGTAATTTTTCAAATTCAATTTTCTTAGGGATGAAGTCAAAAATCAGAAAATGTTATTCTTTTTTTCAAACTCAATTTTGCATATAAAATTACTACATGATTGTTTGTATCGCGTTTTTAGGACATTGTGTAAAAAAATAGTGTAAAATATGCAAAGATTTCATAAAATAAATATTTTAACTTTGAAAGGGTTAAAATATCGGAAAAAAATCAGTGAATATTTTTCTTGATATTTAATACTCCAGTGTATTTACGAGGTGTGACACGAAAGTAACGAGACTAGTCCAATAAATCATTGTACCTGCAGAATCAATTCTCTGTGACATTATCACCTTCAAAGTAGCCTCCTTCAGTATTCACACACTTCTGCATTCGGCGCTACCAATGCTGGTAACAATTCTGGAACGAGGTTTTTGGAAGTCCCTTCGGGAGATTCTCCGTTTCTGCCTGAACCTCTTTAACTGAGGTGAAATGGGTTCCCATTAAACAAAATTTAACTTTAGGAAATAAAAAAAAGTCGCATGGAGCCAAATCAGGTGAATAAGGAAGATGCCTCATCACAGTAATTTACTGGTCAGAAACTGCTTGGCAGACAGTGCCGTGTGAGCGGGTGCATTGTCCTGGTGCAACAGCCATCCATCGCTTCACAACTGTGGCCTTTTTTTTCCTAATTTTTTCACGAAGTCTTTTTAGTATTTCAATGTAATAGTTAATAATAAACAGTCTGATCACTAGGAAACCACTCAATCATTACGATTCCATTAATGTCGAATTTTGATGTTGAAGTGCGTGTTTTTCCGGGTTTTGGGGATCCTGGAGACTTCCACTCCATTGACTGGCGCTTACTTTCTGGGTCATAAGTAAAAATCCATGTCTCATTACATGTTACAAAAGAGTTCAACAACCTTTACGAAAAACTTGATATTTATTCGCTGTTCGGTTTTTACGTTAGACATTTTTTTGGCAGAATGCAGTTGCACGTGTTCACTAAATAACGCAATACTTCCAAATGGTATAACCGATTCAATCCAAATTGGTAACATGGATAGAGGAGGTATGTGGAATGATGCCACGAAAACAATTGCTGCCAATTTCATTGTTTTTTCAAATTACAGACTTAGTTTCGTTACTTTTGTGTCACACCTCGTATAAATTCTTGTCTGAATTTTATTTATTTTAATAGAGAAATAAAAATAAAATTTGATTTTGAACCAATTTTACATTTAGGAATAAGTAATGCATCGTAATAAATTAAATTGTATTGACTGTTCATCGTATTATATTATTTTATTTCTTTCTTATACAATTATTCTGTCAAAAACGAGATAAATATATATAACAATGTTATAATTTAGTGTATAAGCTGTCTTAAGTTTTTGTTTTTGAGCAAATAAATTCTCATAAATACATTTTCTATCCTTACAAGGCATAGTTTATTAAAGTTTATTTGACGATACAAAAATTCTTGAATTGTGGTTTTGGTGATATGTAAGTACTTGTTTATAATAAGATTGAAAACTACTCATCTAGTGGGTACTTTATTTAATACTTAACACTTAAAAATTAAGAATTAGTCTCAAATGAAAGAATGTATTTAAATATTTCGGGAAAAAATTGTTTTTGTTTTAAATTTCGATCAATTGGTAACAAGTTTAGATTTAAATGGCAGACGAAAACTGAAAGGTTATTGCAAATAATGAAATGACTACTCCAGAATTAAACTAATTTCCACATAGAAATTATTAAACAATCGATAAATCATATTTCGTATTCTTTCCCTACGCTTCCTGTGAACTACAAGAAACATAAACTGTATACAACCATATTTTAATTTATTAACACAATCAATTCTGCGCAAAAATTGTGACAATCCTATAATACGGTATTCTGGAAACACTATTTTAATATAATACAGCATAAAATTTGTGCCCAGTTTCCTACATCAGTATTCTTACAAAACAGTTTCCAATACAACTTTACATAAACTTGGACAATCCTCCTATATCACAAACGAAAACGGAACGAATTAACCGTGTTACAAGAGAATTCACTACAATAATTCACAAAAATATATTGCAGTTAATGGACATCATTTTAAACACTTATTCAAGCAAATTTTCTTCGCCATTTTCTGCATCACAGTTATTTTGTTATTTACGCTTTCTTCCGTTAATTTCTGACTTTTTCATACTTAAAGTCTTGTGGTTATTAATAAAATTTTATTGAATAATATGACACAATGCCATAATTAAATGATATGTACACAAGTATTTGATTGGTTAAAACAGAACGTTTCATGCAAAAGGAATTATTTAGTTTACAACGCATGAGAGAGGCTGCTGAGAGTACGCACCTAAGAGATTTAAGCTCGTACTAACTTCGTTTTATTTGATACCGATAAAATAAGACAAGCACATTACAGTACGATGTTTTACGAACATTTTAAGTCGGCTTTTAAATAATTATTGTTACAGGTTATTGTACAACACGATTTCTTAACATAACATGCAAATACGTCTAACAATTAGACGGATAATCGTGTAAAATATGCATAGAGTTAGCTAAGAATACACAACCACCATCTTTTCTTTTTTTCCAATAGTCAGTATTTTCTATTATTGTTATTTAATTTTTAATTATTATTAATAAATGTAATTATTAATTTACATTAATATTTGACAGTGAAAACAAAAATTATTGCTATGAATTACGTTATAATTAACAAAGTTATTAATGTCGTTTCAGTTTTTATTATTATCATCATTGTTACCATTATTAATATTATTATTAGATACATTTTTAAAGGTATATAATGAACATTGTATTGTTTTTTACATATTAAATTTTTTTATTAATATAGGTTTCAGTGAAAACAGCAAAATTATATACATATTACATAACATAGCTAATTCGTTTAAACAATAATAACCCTGTTGAAAAAATTAAGAGAGAAATTTATAAGACAAAGAAGGTATGTGCACACTTTTGGATGATGTATGACTGCGCACTCTAATTCATCTGCAATAGTTATCAAAAATGTTGATAGATATCGGTGGCAATCAGTTGCGGCATTGTATTTTTTACCACTAAACAGCTAATTAACTGTGTCTGTTACCTATATTACTCAAAAGTATTACAACTTACATTCAAACTGTAAAAACTTATAAAAGTAGCGTTAAAAATTATATTCAAAGAAGTAAAAAAAATTATTCATCTATAACTTTGCAAAAAGATGACAGAAGATATTGGAATTTTGACAGCGTGACTGCTACTAACCAAACTTTGTCTAATAATGTCTCGAGCTGACTCAGTACTGTTAATTTTCTAATATTTTTAGTGACGATATTAATTTCTAACAATATACCATTGAATTTACACAGTTTTTTCTTGGTATCGTTAATGTCTACTCTTAGCAACCTCTTCACTACTTTGTAATCTATAATATCATTCTTTTTTAATGTTTCTCACAATAAAGTGGCACTAATTTCATGCAAACAAAAACATATATCAATAATAGAAAAAGGAGCAAATAAGGGTAAAGTATCGCAAGAATATTATTCAGAAATACTAAATGAATACAAAAAGTATAATTTCCTTTTTAATGTAGCTCAACAACAAAAAGAAAGAGGAATAAGAAATAAGCTTAACAATATTATGTATTAACCTGAACACGAGCTTCTGAAAGTGAAATTCTAAGAGCAACTTCTTCTCTCAGGAAAACATCTGGATAATGCGTCTTCTGGAAGAGGGACTCCAATTCTTGAAGCTGCTGTGGAGTGAAAGTTGTCCGATTGCGTCTCTGCTCAGATATAATTAATAATAATTAATACTTGTTCGTGTATATACATACAATGTAACTTATATTATTTTAAAGGGTATTCAATATTTACTTTACATGCTTTCAATATATGTACATTTTGTGTATAGTAAGCAAAAGAGAAGCAAAAATAATTTGATTTATTGAATTACTTTAAATCATGCTAGTACATTATGGTATCAGTTACAAAGGTAATTAAAGATGTGTTATTAGATTGATGAGGAGTCCTTTCATTTATTTTGTATACATTGAGGAATTTGAACATTTGAAAATTTGGAAAGGGAAATTGGAAGTTTTGGAATTTTGAACATGGGGATCAGGAAACTTGAGAAGTTAAGAATTATGGATTTTGGAAATTTAGAGATTTAGGAATTGAGGAATTTGGTGATATGACAATTTTGGAATTTAAGAATTTGGAAATTCAAAGATTTAAAAACTTATATATTTGAGAGTTTGATAATTTTATCAAATTTATAAATCAACAAAATTTAGAAATATAAATAGTACTGAATTTTCCAATTTACAAATTTCAGACGTAGATATTGAAACATGAACATTTGTATATTTTCAATTTTTAAATCTATAAAATTCAAAATTTTTTAATTCTTTTATTTTTCATTAACTGCTTATGACATTACCGCAATTGTGTTACTATTATTGAAGTAAAAGAATAAACAAAAAGAGTCATTATTTTTATGTACATAAACATCAAAATTACTTTTTGGTTAACATATGGTTCGAAATTTTTTAAAAATAATTTTTAAATAACATTGCAACTTTTATTATTTATCAATACATGTATATATTTCTATCTTTTTCTAAAACAGCGATTCTCAAATCCAAGCAATATTTTAAACGTTAAACTTATATGTATACATAATGTTTTCAAAGTGTTCCGAAACAACAATGCAAAACATAAATCGAGAATTTAGAATCATCTAAAATCACTCTTCTAAAATCATTAGATCTAAATCTCGTAGGTATTTTATAGAAGTGATTAAATAGTAATATAAGATTATTGAACATGCATAAAATTAGATTGTAATATTCGGAAAATTGTTATCTAACATAGAAAAGTAAAGAAACAACGGATAAATATAGAAAGAGCAGAAAATGTAATTAACAAAAGAATGAAGATTCACTTCTTATAAATATTTAGCAAAAATTATTTCTAGCATTTCTAGACATTTTCAGTACAAAAAATACTCAATGTGGAATTGAAAATTACTACTTTGTTTAAAAATGTTTTTTTAAGTGACCGAATATGTTTATGAACGGAAATTTAAATATTATCTAACCTTGATTCATAAAGTATGTGTGTTTAATAAATGAAACATATGTTTTTGTAATGTACAATGATAATTTTAATACATTAAAAAATAGTCAACATATTAACATTCTTACAAAATATATCATATATGACAGTAATGCTTCTTTTGTATATTGTGTTTGACCTAATTCGTGCATTTAAGACGAATTAACAATTTCAAATAAAAAGGAGAACATAACATTTATTAATACATTAGCGTTTATTTTAAAGTAATTAATTTATGAATTATAGCACTTATTCTCCGAGTAATAAGGCGAACAACATTTGTTCAGATTATCATTTATAAAAATGTATATTATTTGTATAGGTTGTATACAGTATTGAAATAGAACATGACATTTTTCATCGGTTAATTTTACAATTAAATTAAAATAATAATCAAATGTAAATAAATATCGGCAGATTCATTGGTACGTATTTTATTTCTACAGAGCATAATATCAGTAAACATCATTGAACACATTGAACGGTATTATATTGGCAATTTAAATAATTTTATATTCTAATAATTGTATAGGTTGATGAATGTGTAAATCCGAGTATATTCGTTACTGATTAATAATGTGCTAATTGAAGACAATTTATAATGAAAAGGAATAACTCAAATTATATTTAGAACACAAACATAAATTTATTTATTTATAATTAGTAATTCAGTAGTTTCGTGATTATTAATTCACTAATTCCTAGTTTATAAATTGGTGGACGGTGAATTTAACACTAAGTTTACGGAACCCGTAAAAATGACGGATCTCATATCTGTTATTTCAAGTTACAGAATTTGTTAAGCTTTCGTCAAAATGTATGTTAACCTTCATTAAAATAAAAATTCATTGTAAAAGCTAGTTTACGTATTATTCATTATTTAATTATTCTTATAATTTTGTTTCATTGCAAATATAAGTGATTAAACATTTGTAAATCTAGGACGATGGCGAAACTATATATACCTTATAATAATATCTTATAATAATATTTGCAATATATTGCACAATATTATGCATAGTAATGGCATTTCACAAGATGTCCAAATATTAGTATCTATCACTATGCTTATATTCGCCTAATAATTTTCATTTCAGTATACAAGAACATAAAACATTTTTTTGTACTTCAAAGTTAAAATTATATATTCACTCATTTTTTTACAGGAAGCTCTAAACTTAACGTTTTTTATTTTGTTATTGCGCTAAATCTATATCGTACTCTCAATATTACATCATATTGTATTTAATCTAATAAAAAATTTAGATGTAAAATTCAAATACATGAATAGCATTTTATTGGTTTTGTGTTAGTAACATAAAATTGATTTAAAAACATGTAGCTTCAAAATTTAAAATTGTTTATCTAGTTGTTAAAGTATGTGACAAATATTTAAGAACACGAAGAAATTGAAGATTTTATACTGTATTTAGTAATAGATAATTTCCATATACTTACACATGCCACGTATACATATGTATACATAAGAGCATGCATTATACACCGCCTTCCATAACTTTCCATCTTTTTAATTTATTAATTTGATTTATAACATTAATTTATAACTAACTTCTTTTTAACTTTAATTTATTAAATTAAGTTATGACTAATTTCTCATTCACTTTAATTTACGAAATTTATTTAATTAAGAAATTTGAATAACAAAGTATATCGATTATTAGCGCACAGTATAATAAGTACAATGTAATGTAAAAAAGATGTGTAATAATTAAATTTTATATAATTTATATAACACTTTGACCTATTTCCACGTTAATTTACTTGAGATTGCAAGTGAAATTGATTGAAGTATTAATAAGATTAATGTAGCCATAATCAATAAAATAATGCTTCAAAGACAAGAAGTAATTATTACACGATAATTATTGCATTACTAATTGTTACATATAAGTGAGAATCCACATATGTATATAATATTATGTACAGAAAACACATGTAGGTAAAACAAAATTAAGTTTTCTTACATCAGTTACCTTAGTTTCAAACATAGTATTCAAACATAGATACTATTCTTTTCATCAAAAATTAAAAAAACATGCTTCTTCGAAAAATTACGTACGCGCATATGTAATGAACCTCAAATCCAGAAACACTACAAAATTAATAATTTGAAGAAAAATATTGATGTAAATAATAATATGAAATTAGACAAATTAAATTACATAATTTCATTATTTTTAGAGCTTCATTATCTCAATAAAATATTTATATAAACTAATATAAAAGTATCGATTTAATACTTTTTATTTCGTTGCACATCAATTTGAAGAAAGAGATTTTGGGAAAAACTTGTTTAAAATTTGTAATTATGAATTTTATTAGAAATTAGTAACTGCATAACTTCATTTTTGAGGTTCTAAATTGTCGATTTAAGTTAAAAAAGTTATTGGTTGAAATGTAAACATTTTTATCTTGCTATACTACAATTGGTTAAGTTACTGGTTAAGTTTCTACTTGTACTTTCCTCTTTGTAGGGCGTGAATAAATATTGTTGCAAAATTTATCAGTTATTAACCTTTGAACAGTAAATAGCGTTATGATCGCATAATATGCATGCGGCGGATGCTGAATACAAGCTGACCAAGTAATAAACTTTCATTCGTACACATTTTTATTTTACTTAATATTTCACCGTTTTAAATTATGCTAGTGTGTAATAATTCTAATTTTATACAATGTGTACGAGACATATTTTTTTTTACTAATAGATAATTATTACATATAATGTAACAGTTCAACTGAATATAAGTCAAATGTAAAACATTTGAACTCGTCATTTAAGAGTGTAATGTTTGCATAAATACCTATTAAATATACCTACATATATGCATTAACATATAATCATTTTCTTGTAAATAATAAGTATTTTTTGTCATAAAACAAATCTATTGTCTCGTAATTATTATTTCTCCGTAATACTTGACGCCATTTTGTATGAAGAACAAGGGACAGCATATTCTTCATTTGACCTACACTTTTAATTTGTTAAATAAAAATAATTGATTATTGATTGATACATCTAACAGTATATATACTGGGTATTTTCAAAATGGTAGTATAACCAAAAATATAGAATACAATTTTCTCGCATGTCACTTCATTTTCGAGGAGACTGAGCTTGAACAGCTTCGAAGTATTTACAAAAAAAATTTTTTTGAAATGATAAATGCAGATTTTCATTATTCTGAAAATTAATGAATGCTATTAAAGTTCGTTATCAGGCATTCTTCATAACATTATTGATGTAGATATTAACGCGATGAATTTAGTCTATTATAAGATCACACGTAAGTAACAAACCTGATGAAGTAATATAAAGTAATAAACCTGTTTTAGCGATATTTATAACTATACCTGTTGATGTACAATATTTGTTTACTGTAGAATTAAAAAACAATTTGTTGGTTTTATTATTTTCTACACTGAGAATAATCTTTACTACAAATACTAAAAAAAAGTTTAAATTCAATTTTCTTGAAAATAGAGCCATCTACTAAAAAATTGTATTTCATGTTTTTCAATTATTTTTCCGCGTTGATTCATTCATTTTTCGTTTGCACCGCCATTTCGAAAACACCCTGCAAAATAACATAGTTGCTAGTATTTTTAGTCGATTTTCGAGAATTCATGCCAAGTGTAATTATTAACATAATTGTTATTACCAATCTTCTTATGTCATTTATCAACATTTGAAATCTGTTATTTAAAATTCATAGAGAAGGTGCGAAAATATTCGAATTTGGAAAAGTAATTTTGTTTAAAAAAATGCAATTTTTATGCTTCTAAAACGTTGGTCAGCGAACTAACTCTATTATACTTTACACCCCATTTTTTGTATATTTTATTACGCTTTTCATACTTCATTTTATTAAACATTTTATCACATATTTCATACGTCATTTTGTTGCATGTTTTATAAATTCAAGACTTGTAATAATTTGAAATCGAACAAGTTTATTCGCGCCACTTTTGCAACAACACGTGTTCACTTTGTCTCTGTATTGCATGTTAATAAATATCAAAATATTTAAAATTTAATTACTGATGTTATTAAATCAAGCTTTATTCTATCGAGTATGCAATATCGAAAATATGAATTCAAGTACTCTATTAATTCATATTTGTTTATATCGAATTATCTAACTTATGAAACAACACTCGTTACATGATCACGACAGGAAATTAACTCAAAGGTAATTACAGTAACACTGACAGAATATTCCATTTACGGAAATTTGGAATGTTTTAAAATCTCTACCTAAAATAATAAACTATTGACACTGAATTAACTCTATTTAATTGGATTAACTCTCAGACGATAAAATGAGATATCCAATAATTTAGTACTAGATTAAGAAAGTTAAATGATCATATCCCCACTTTAAATTACAGAAATTCTTAAGAAGCTTTTGACAAATTGTATATTGTCTTTTAGAGATAAATAATAATTACATAAACTAGTTTGTTAGTCCTCCATTTATTTATTTTTCTATTGAAAATATTTGAGATCTGTACACAAATCAAGTGTCAAATTTAATTGTACATCATTTTATCTTCATTTTCTAAATTCTAAACTATTGTATTTATTATTAGATTCTTTTCAAATATATAGAAATCTTTAGTTTAAATTATTTGAGCTAATTTATATTCTTGTATAGATTCCGTAGGTTTGGATCACAATGAACGCGGCATCCGCCGTTTGACGGTTAACCCTCTGCGGTTGTATTTACCTGAGGGATACTCTGCCAATCGAAATTATTTTGTGCTAAATTAATTACTCATTTCTAATCAAGGAATTAGTTACCTATTTTACGTTTAACACGATAGTTAAAAAGTCTCATTGAATGAGTTACTCATTTGGCAAAATAATAATAAGTCCGAGAAACTTCTACCTTTCTTTTTCTCAATGTTTTACTTGTAAAAATATGAAAAAATGGATTTAATCACTTTAGTCTCTAAATATCAACAATATCGTAAAAATCTTTTATGATAGTATAATGTTATCTTGTTGTCAAAACTGTAAATATACAAAATTAGAAAACTTTTAGAATTTGTGTACTTTCATGTAATGCAGGTCAACATTCACAAATTGTTATTATTTAATTTAATTACTGAAGTTATTAGAATTTAAAAAATTAGCAACTCATTGCAAAGGGTTAATATAATGAAATGTTGTTATAATATTGTATTATTATTTTAAAATATAAAATCTCGTCGTACTTGTTCCTTTTTGGTTAATTATGTATTATCAATATATTGTTATTATTCACAGTAGAAAAAAATAAATATTGTCTACTAGAAATTATTGAAACTATTTCCATGTTCAGTTTATTACAACACCCCTAAAAACTATTGCCTGATTTAACTTAATTTAATGTTGAAATAGTAAATTACTTGTAAGAATGGAGCTCATTTGTTCGAATACGCACACTATCATAAATTTTAATTGTATAACACAAATATCGCGCACTAAAACAAATAATATTATACCTACAATTCAATATGATTAATAAAACAATATTTACACCGATAGTTGCCATATTTACGTAAATTTCAAACAATATTATGATTTGTAACTGATATAACACAGTTGAGTTGTAACATGCAATGATTAGATATGATAGGTGATAAATCATAAAAATTATTATCATTAATATGACTTGGTATATGAATTGTTATGATTATTATGATTTTATATATAAATTATTTTAATTTTATTACTTTGATTTCATATATGAATTATTATTATGATTATTATGCTTTGATATATGAATTATTCCTATGATTTTTGTGATTTGACGCATACATTATTATTGTTTTATGATTTATAATGGTTTATGATACAGTTATTGTCAACCATACCGCAGTTGATACGATTCAATTTTTAAGCCGTGGTGTCTTTCGCACAGTACTCTCGTTATATTGCCACCTTCACATACTGAGTCCATGTAGAGACCGCCCCATCAAAGAACAAGCTTTCTAATCAACACCATAAATTAGGAATTAAAAGAATTTCTCAACGCACACAACCTCATTTATGGCAATATAACAAAACTTTACTGTATGTATTTATCTCGATTTTTAAAATTGTTATTTATTTCAGAAAATAATGAAGTTCGACTCATCTTATTGTAGTGATCCAATGTGTTTATATCAACACTTATATTATCGTCTTTGTATGATTATGAATCTTTTTCAAATTTTTGGAGTAAATATTTAAATTTTGTTTATGAAGAGGAAGAAGAATAGAATACTTATTCAAACTATTTATAGTCTAACAATATTTATTTAGTATCAAGTTGCACGCAAGTTAATAGATTCGCATTAAAAATTAAATTTGTAACGATGAAATTTAAATTTTTTATACAAATTCAATTACAAATCAAAATATGATCGCTACAGAAAGAAATAAAAGAAATACTTGCATTCAAATTTGAAAGACTACTAGGCTCCAGAAATATGCGATAGCATGCAAAAAAATATGATCGTTACTTTATAATAATAATAATTAGGAAATTATATAATAATTGCGAGCACGATAGGTATCCTTGAAATTATTCATTCCAAATAAAAATTTACATTAATAATTATAGAAGTAAGGAACTACTTATGATTCAATAATACTTATAGCATTTGTATGCACGCATTGTATACGTTATAAATAAAAGATGTATAATAATACAATAAACTAATAATACTAAATAATTTGTTTTCACACAAAAATTAATTCAAATTAATTAATTTTTTAATTCACTCCGAAATTAGATTTGCTATTTTAGCAAAGCTGTCCAACAGTGAGATATCGGTAACGAAATTCTCAACCATTCTCTTAAACTTGTCTTATAATGAATAATTATAATTTTTTATCGAGTACAAATTATTTAACATTTTAAACAATAATTTTTAAAAAACTTTAAGAAGTAAATTCACCATTACATATTATTCCAATTTAGTAACTGTAGAAATAAAAATCGTTCACCACACTGACAATTTAAATTTAATGTAAATTTTATATAATTAATCGAATGAAAAATTATTTAATTATTAGGAAATTATAGATTACAATTACTTCTTCTTGAATTCTATCATTATTCCAAACGTATCAATCAAAGCAAAAAAAAAGTATTTCAATCAGAACAAAACACACTGCAAAATAATTTCAAAAGAGCAAAAAACAGTTTGTAAGAAGAAAGAACATAACCCATTTCCACAAAAAAATATGCAAGAGTATTCAAATTTCTAACAATTCACAACACATAAATTTCTATCGATTTACACCATATATAATCATTATATATTTCGAAATGTATGAACATGAATCGGCAAAAATATGAAAAAAGAACGGAAACAGAAGCAAAATAGAAACGTACACTGACCTGACGACGTCTTCCAAACATGTACTCGGTGAGCAGATCTGCCTGGGGGCCCAGAGGCGACAGATACGGCCCTGCCATCACTTCGAAATCGGTTGTTCGGCTGAAATTACCAGGACCAGATGTTGTGATTATTTCGCTTATCCCTGGAATTCTCACTGCAAGAGAGTCGCTTTATCGTACTCGATAGACGACACCGAGGAAACTGAAGTCTCCTTCGGAGAATTCACCCCCGATCAAGCTCCGTGTTACATGACGGAACGGGGGTTGGTTTATTTCAGGGGATTGGTCCAACCCATTCGGGGGCGGCGCCACTTCCATGGAGATATGTACACACCCCTCTTGTGGAAAATTCACTAAATCGTACCGCGCAGAACTTTTTCTCGAGAGAAAGACAATACTTGATTTTTAATTTTTTAAGATTTCCCCTCGTTATTCGGGATGTGTGTTCCCGAATTTTTCATTTCATTTATTTCTTTATTTCCTAGCATTTCGCTTTTACGGATTACTTGTAATCACGTTGTTTATTTATCTGCAACTTTTTAGGGTACATACCGAAAGAATTAATCCCTTGCATTATTCAATTGTGCGTTAGGTAGAAGTAATCGTTCGCTAATATAATATTAAAATGTACGAGGAAAGTCGAAATGTTATGTCTTTGTATTCAGAAATGATTGACTTTGCAAATTGTAGTTGGGCTTGAACTTCAAATTGAAGGGTATTTAATTTCGAGTAAGATTTGAACTGTGAATGCGTCACTGGTAGAAACTTTTCGAAATATGGCAAGGAGTTAACTAAACGTAAAATAATTAACTACAAATTAAATACAAATGCTATGCAAACAATTCTTTTCATAATCTTATCTTTAAGAACAAAAGCAATTTAACCTATTTTGAATAATTGAATATTCTTACTAAATTCAAACAATCTGGGCTATTTTTAACAATTTAATATTTTGAGTTAATTCAGACAATTTGAGGAATTTTCAACAAATTCGAACAAGTTGAGCTATTTTAAATGACTGAATACCTTGAATAAATTCAAACAAGCTAATCTATTTTGAACAATTGAATGTTTTTAATAAGTTCAAAAAATCTGAGCTACTTTGGATAACTGAATATTTTTAATAAGTTCAAACAAACTGAGTTATTTTCAGTGATTAAAATATTTTTAATAAATTCAAGCAATCTGAGCTATTTTAATTAATTGAGTATTTTAAATAAATTCAAGAAAACTAAAGTATTTTAAATGACTAAATGTTTTAAAGTTCAAACAGTTTGAGATTAGTTCACCTTACCCTCGGGATATTAAATAGTATCCGCAATATTACACTTGAAGACCTCTCGCGATTGCATGTCAACGTAACTTACACAAATACAGTAAAATTTTAGATGTAGCTGTTTATTTAAAAATTTAATGAATAAATTAAATTTATAGTAGGATATTAATAATATTTAGTAAAGTAACGATGAAGCAGACTATATGGTACAGTAGCACATTATACTGTACATTTACTACACTTCCTCTCTTTCTCTTGGGCCATTCAACCCCAGGAGGATACCACACAAGTGAAACACTGAAACAAGGATGAAACTTTTCAATTTATATATTTATATGTTTATTATTCATATTGTCAACTTATTTATTTATACCTAAGTTTAATCATATTATTATAATGATACATTTTGACCTAAAAAGCACTGCTTGACGAAACAGAATAGAATTACATCTATTCAACAGCATGGCAATAAATTAAATTTCATACTAGTACTTATAGCTTGTAGTAATACAATAATGCAAAATTTTAGTAATCATTATTGTTATAAATATTTTATTTAAACGTATTGAAGCTGAGAAAGGAGCTGTTGAATGCAAAAGTTTGTAGACAGTCTTATTTAAGTCAAATATTTGCATCTTTGATTTAATTTATTTTTCATTTTGTATTGCGCAGAAGCAACATAAGTCTAATTTCAGTAGATTTACTTTCCTCTTTCCACTTTATTACTTACTAAATTGATTTTTATTGTAGACTAACATTTTATTGAATGAAATTATTACATATCTTCATTTAAGAAAATAGCTTTATTAATTTAAAATATGGTAACTTTACTTTGTAATGACTTAAAAGAAATGTAACATTCTGTGGTATCATAGTATATTAATGAACTATTATTTTATTTTACATTACTCGTTACATCATTATTTATAAATTTCATAGCTGAAATATTATACTGAAGTTTTACGCTTCTGACATCTTTTACTTCTGAGATTTTTATACAAATTTATTTACTTCTTTATCAAGAACACAATAAGAATGAATATAAAAATATAGCAAACTTTTGTTATATCGCCAAGTTTTAACAGATTTTTACGCGCAATAACTCTCCTTTCGTTGAAGAGAAAACTTTTCGGCCACCGTACTGTATTATGAATTCGAAGAATTTTCCATGCTTACAGTCTTGTCGGCGGCAATATAGCGAGTGTCTACTGTATATGAAAGAGATATTCAGTACTGAAAAGTAACAAATGTAATATAATACAACATATAATAGGAAGTAAATATAGAGAATGAATCGACATTTACTTACAATAATTAAATAACCCACCATTTATAAATTAATTTAATAATCGTTTCAGGAAAAGTTTATAGAAATTTACGCAAATATAAAAAGTTTGCAAATGTTACCTGTAATAAGATTTTACATAAAGTACTTATAAGTTACAATTATATGAAAGTTTATATAAAAAGCAAAACAGGAATTATTGATGTCAGTGAAAATACTGAATGATAATGTTCTATGTACATATAATAAATAACAAATTGACTATTGCATATTTAAAATGAATATAATTGTTATAACAAAAAATTTAGAACAAAAACAACAACAAATTGAAGAGAAATAGAAAGATGGTTAGTAGTAGAATAACAAGTCGAAGTAAAAGAAGAAAACAAATTCTTCACAAGCTAAAGATACAAAATCAAATGTAAACATAACAGATACGTTAGAAATCGTTGACTTATGTATATAAACAAAAAAATAAAATGAGTTACAAATAAGAAAACCCACGATAATAAAATAAGAAGTAGAAGAAAACAAATCCCCACGAATTAAAAATACAAAATCAAATATAAAAATAACAAAGCGTTCAAAAAACCTTGAGCTATATAAACAAAAAAAAGATAAAGAGACCCAAAAATCAATTATACATCGTTGACCTATATACATAAACAAAAAAAAAAATAAGAAGACCTAGGAGAAAACTGTAAAAATCAAAATGAAGAAATAGAAAGACGGTAGGTAGCGGAATAAGAAGTCGAAGTAGAAGAAGAAAACAAAGAAGAAGAAGAAGAAGAAAGGGGAAGACGTATATGGGTATTAGTGATAAGTCGTAGCGTAAGCCAGAAAGTGATGCTCGGTATTCGTGTACCGCATCAGACAGGCACATACCCCGAAGCCATGTAATTCATTACTAAAGCAATCTCACCCTCCCCTATCTCTACCCCTCTCCTAAACCCTATCCAGCCCCGCATACCCTCTTCTGGCTTCAGCGGTGCGCGCGCGTTATAATATAAAAAAAAAAAGGAAGAACCAGCCGGATGAGGAAGAAGAAGGGCCTGAATAGAATAGCGCCCCCTGACGACAAAACAAAATGAAACACAAAGCCGTGTTTTCATAATTAAAAAGATTGCATGCACTGAGTACAGTTCTCTCTTGCTCTCGCTTTTTCTCTCGTTGACGTTCTATGCTCGCCTCCTGTACGGAGCCTTTCTGTTCGCTACGCTGTATTTCTCTTTTTCCCTTTCCATCTGATTTTCTCTGTGATTGTCCGCCAAGCCTTTCTTCCTGGACGACGCCCCACCCTCTTTTGCTCTCCCTTTCTCTCTTCCCTTCTATCTCTCTTGACTCTTCCCTTTATATTTTCGCCGCTTCAATAATCCAAATAATAACAAAATATTTTACTATTCATTTTGTTAGTCGGGGATTCGACGAAATGGACACTTGTTCTGTTTGCCAGGTTTTGTAATTATAGGTGAAAGGGTGGTCAAATTTTATTAATTATTTGAAGGTTATTTTTTGACTTTTATTCTAGTTTGTATTTAATTTTACTTTGATGGAATTGCGAATTTGTTGATATTTTACGATATATTAATTTTATGTATTATAAATACGATGTAAAGTTTATTGTGCAAGTGTGTTGTATTGTGAGTTTGAAATTTGGAATTTGGAAATTTTGAAACGTCAAAAGTTGAAGATACAAAAGTTTAGAAATGTAGAAGTTTGGAGATTTGGAAATTTAGAAATTTTAGAGTTTGGGAGTTTGGGAATTTGGCGATTTCGGGATTTGAGGAGTGGGAAATTTGGGGATTTCAATATTTAGGAATTTAGGAATTTTGGAATTTTGAAATTTAGGAATTTTGGAATTTAGGAATTTTGGAATTTTGGAATTTTGGAATTTTGGAATTTTGGAATTTTGAAATTTTGGAATTTGAGAATTTGGGAATTTGGGAATTTGGGAATTTGGGAGTTTGGGAGTTTGGGAATTTAGGAGTTTGGGAATTTGAAAATTTGGGAGTTTGGGAATTTGGGATTTGGGAATTTGGGATTTGGGAATTTGGGATTTGGGAATTTGGGATTTGGGAATTTGGGAATTTGGGATTTGGGAATTTGGGAGTTCGGAAGTTTGGGAGTTTGGGAATTTGGCGATTTCGGGATTTGGGGAATGGGAAATTTGAGAATTTGAGAATTTGAATATTTGTGAATTTTGGAATTTAGAAATTTACGAATTCAGAAATTTGAGGAATTTGCAAATATGTCAGTTCCAAAATATCTAAACATTTATTAAATTTATTAAATTTCTATATTTCACGAAATTTAAACATTTGGAAATGAAAAACTTGAAAATTTGGAACTGTAAGAATGAAGACATTCTAAATTTGAGAATTTTTTAATCTTCAAGTATACATATCTATCATTCGAAGAAAGTTTATTTTACTGCAACATTTCAAGTCGTAGCACTTTAAATATACTAATCAACGATAAATTATTAAATACTTTGTTTGTAGCATTTCGCTTGTTTTA